TTGCATTTGGCTAGGGTCAGTGTCACTACTGGTAGCATGAGGCCATACCTGGACCCTACAGAGGTTGCACAGGCAGTCCAACTCCTCCAGGATGACACCTCAATACCTGCCATTGCCAGAAGGTTTGCTGTGTCTCCCAGCACAGTCTCAAGAGCATGGAGGAGATTCCAGGAGACAGGCAGTTACTCTAGGGCTGGATAGGGCCGTAGAAGGTCCTTTACCCATCAGCAGGACCGGTATCTGCTCCTTTGTGCAAGGAGGGACAGGATGAGCCCTGCCAGAGCCCTACAAAATGGCCTTCAGCAGGCCACTGGTGTGAATGTCTCTGACCAAACAATCAGAAACAGACTTCATGAGGGTGGCCTGAGGGCCCGACATCCTCTAGTGGGCCCTGTGGTCACTGCTCAGAACAATAGAGCTCGATTGGCATTTGCCATTGAACACCGAATTGAACACAGAATTGGCAGGTCCACCACTGGCACCCTTTGCTTTTCACAGATGAGAGCAGGTTCACCCTGAGCACATGTGACAGATGTGAAAGGGTCTGCAGAAGCCATGGAGAACGTTATGTTACATCGTTCAGCATGACCGTTTTGGTGGTGGGTCAGTGATGGTCTGGGGAGGCATATCCATGGAGGGACGCACAGACCTCTACAGGCTAGACAATGGCACCCTGACTGCCATTAGGTATCGGGATGAAATCCTTGGACCCATTGTCAGACCCTATGCTGGTGCAGTGGGTCCTGGGTTCCTCCTGGTGCAGTGGGTCCTGGGTTCCTCCTGGTGCATGACAATGCCCGGTCTCATGTGGGGAGAGTATGCAGGCAGCTCCTGGAGGATGAAGGAATTGATACCATTGAATGGCCCCCACACTCACCTGACCTAAATCCAATAGAACACATCTGGGATATCATGTTTCGGTCCATGCGACGCTGCCAGGTTGCACCTCAGACTGTCCAGGAGCTCAGTGATGCCCTGGTCCAGATGTGGGAGGAAATCCCCCAGCACACCATCCGTGGTCTCATTAGGAGCTTCTCCCGATGTTGTCAGGCATACATACAAGCACGTGGGGGCCATACAAACTACTGAGGACCATTTTGAGTTGCTGCAATGACATTTCAGCAAAATGGACTCGCCTGCTGCTTCATTTTTTCCTTTGATGGAAATGAAAATGTTTGACCTACAGAGGACTGAATGCAAAGACACCCTGAAAATCAAACGATGGGGCATCCTTACGTTCCTAACACATCACCCCGTCCATGTCAGTATAGAGATCCAGCAGGAGATTTCTCCCCATTGAGATCTGATGGGTTTTCAAATCATTTCTTTCATTTTTTTGAGCAGTGTATATATATATATATATATATATATATATATATATATATATACACTGTATATTTAACACACTAATTATATTTTTATATGAAAAAAAAAAGATTTCACTAAGCCTAGAGATCGCTTTTAAATTGCCAGTTGCGGTTGAAATGAACAACCATGCCAACAGCAGAATACAAACAACATTATCGCAGTGGACAAACATCTAATAGGCAACCAGCCAAGTCTATTCTATAGTTCATTATGCTGCAACAGCACTCTATAAATACCAAGTCTTATAGTGCTACTAATAAAGTAGAAACATAAACCAACATCTCAGCAAGAAAACAGGCATAAAGGTAACATTATTTCAGGTTAGTTATTCATTACTGCTTACGTCTATACCAAGTCTTGCAAATCACAACAACGCCACCATCAAACCCGCCCCGCAGGCCAGAGTACTTGGTGTCATTCTGGACTCCAACCTATCCTTCCAGCCCCAAGTCCAATCTTTAACAAACTCGTGCAGACTCCACCTCCGCAACATCGCCAAAATCCGCACGTTCCTAACCCCAGAAACCACTAAACAGCTCATCCACTCTCTCATCATATCACGACTCGACTACTGCAACTCCCTCCTCACTGGCCTGTCTCGCCGCTGGCTATCCCCGCTTCAGTCCATCCTGAATATGGCTGCCAGACTCATTCACCTTTCCAACTGCTCCATCTCCGCCACCCCCCTCTGCCAATCCCTCCACTGGCTTCCGATTGTGCAATGGATCAAATTCAAAATCCTAACACTGACGTACAAAGCTGTCCACCATACTGCCCCGAACTACATCACTGACCTAATATCCAAGTACCACCCAACACGCACACTCCGCTCCTCACAAGACCTCCTTCTCTCTAGTTCCCTGGTCTCCTCCTCCCATGCCCGCCTCCAGGACTTCTCCAGGGTGTCACCCATCCTCTGGAACTCCCTGCCCCAACCCATCAGATTATCACCTACTCTCCTCTCCTTTTGGCGCACCCTGAAAACCCATCTCTTCAGGGAAGCCTACCCCACCCCCTGCTAACTTGCCGACCTCCTCCACTCTTCCTACCACTCCATCCCCCACAGCTATCTCCTCCTGTACCACCACCCCCTCCCTCCTAGATTGTAAGCTCGAAAGAACAGGGCCCTCCATCCCCTCATGTATCACATTGTATTGGTATTGTTCTGTCACATGTTCTGTCCCCCTTTGTAATGTACAGCGCTGAGCGAACTATTGGCGCTTTAAAAATACTGTATAATAATAATAATAACAACAAATGATTGAAGTAATCAAGTCTTACACCTAAACCTGATACCGTTTCCCAACACTTGCGCCTTATCACCAGCATTAAAGATTTGAGATTTAAGATGTCCATATATGATTAGAGTCCATTAATTTTTGTAAATTACTAAATAAACTAAATTTGTTCTGTTTTATGTCCTTCTCCCACCACCACCACCACCACACCACCACCAACACCATCACCACCCACCACCACATCACCGCCACATTTGGTGGCACAATAACATTTTTTCTCTGGAGCAGATACCTAGTTTTTGATAGGTACCCTCATCTGTTTGCCCACGGCCTCCTGGGACATGTCGCAGGTCCCAGAAGGCTGCGGGACCATTCCCAAGTGCACTGTGGTTCACATATGCGCAGAGGGAAGCCGACTGTGATGCTGCAAGGAGGCACAGCCAGCTTCCCTTAGTAATTGGCAAAAATCATTAAGTGGACAAGTAAAAAAGTCTTGCCTCTAGTTCCACTTCCAACCTAACTGGGCCAAGTGGACAAGTTTAATTGGACAATAAACTTTTAGTAATTGTGAAAACCGGCTAAGAACTGGCCCGAGTGAGGGCGGCACCAGATCCCCGAACAGGTAAGTGTTCTTTTAGTAAAAGTCAGCAGCTACAGTATTTGCAGCTGCTGACTTTTTATTTTTGCTTTTGTGAGGGTGAAGATCCTCTTCAAGAGATTCGCTTGAAGCTTTTCAAGTGTCGACATCATTTTCTTCCTTGACTTTCGATGCCACTAATTTTGCATGGCACCTGTGGCTCATATGAAAAGGTTCTTAAAGTGGAACTTTAGTCAGAAAATTAAGTCCTGCTAGGTCACTTCATGTGGTTCTTTCTGCAGGTGTAGTTATGTAAAATTAGGTTCCTATACTGTTTAAAATCCAGTAATATACGGTCTCACCCGTCTCTACACATGCTCAGTTACTCTCTATTTTTTGGCACTGTGCTGAAAATTAGAGCCACGAGATTAGTGGACTGGTGTCCTGCTAGTTGACTACTAAATTAGTGGACTATAGGCCGATCTGCTGACAGCCTAAAGATTTACTGCTGCTCAGGGGGGCTCTGGGTTGCAGCAAAATGGCTGCCTCCAGCAAGAAGAAAGAGGAGAAATGCTGGAGGCCATTTACAACACACATTCATTTTGGTAGCATCATTATTATTGTATCAGTTAGGAATTTCTCGTGATTTAGTATTGTGGCCGTCATTAGAAACTATTGTGCAAGAATGGTATAAAAAGGCTTGATTATGTACCGTATGTCATCACACTGTCCTCTGTATACAATGCTGATCCAATGTACATTGTAACATCTATCAGTAAACTTATCTCAGACAAATGCAACTCGATTGGAGTCGATGTCCTTCATTGAAACGGCGTACTTAACAGTGGATTATAGGCCAATCTGCTGATAGCCTAAAGATTTACTTCTGCTCCGGGGGGCTCTGGGTTTCAGCAAAATGGCCGCCTCCAGCAAGAAGAAACAGGAGAAATGCTGGAGGCAATTTACAGCACACATTCATTTTGGTAGCATCATTATTATTGTAAAATGTATGTTTCTTTCTAAAGAAAATAATTTTTTAATTTGGTAAGAGTAAAGTTCTGCTTTAAGGAGGAATTGAGCTCTGGGAGATGTCCCCAAAAAAGTTAAACAGAAGGCGAAGGACTGCTCACCAGCTTTGCATGCAGTTGCCCTTCAGCTGATCTTTCCCCCATTACTAACTTACCATGTTTGTTCTGCATGGTGTCCCTGTGTGGGGGTGGCCATCTTGTAGAGGAACAGGGCTTTGCTTTTCTGATGACTGCTGGAGGAATATTCAAGAAGCAGTATGAGTAATGGAGGAAGCACAGACTCACAGAATTATTAAAGCAGAGGCAGGGAGATCCTTGCACTGCAGGTCCTCAAGTACAACTTCCACCCCAGCAAGGAGAACAATGGGCAGCACAGTATTGACATCGCCAAATCTGGTGCGAATAGCAGTTACACAGGAGAAATAAAGCTATGAGGCTGTAGGAACAGGGTGCCTAGACACCCTCATATACTACTTAAATAGACATAACCTGGGAATGTAGCACAGCAAAATCCCTCTTTTCAGGTTATGTTGGAGAAGACTAGACTTCCTTTAGATGTCTGAGCCTCAGGAGATGGAAAAAGGTATAGTGAGGTTGATCCCAGAATCCTGGGAAAGCTAAAGGTCCTAAATCTCACAACAGACATGCACTGTTCCTTGTGAACCAATCACAAAAACAATGGTGGGTACTGGAAGTGATGGGAACTTTGTTATCGCTGCATGTCAGGTACCAGATGGTCAGACATAGAAACACAGCCAACACAGGTCATGATGTACCATGTCATTGCAGGTGGTGGGAACAGCCGCACTTTTGTTATGTATCTTGGCCATAAATGATAAGAAGAACAGCCCGGCCCTTGGAGGTACGCAGGCCGTGGTAATCGGGCTCCTGGTCACTGTTATTGGAATGTCTATGGGCATGAATTCCGGATACGCCATCAACCCCGCCAGAGACATTGGGCCTCGCCTCTTCACCGCCGGTGCAGGGTGGGGGCTGGAAGTCTTCAGGTAACCTCTACATTTTTGTAGGAGCTCCATGTTGATACATAGATGCCCCATTGAAGGGAAAATTGAATTCTTTCAGGTCAAGTTTAATTTTTGTTGCTTTTTTCATTTGTAATTTTCTAGGGCTTGTTTATACCAAAACCCTCATGTTCAGTTTGCAGCTATTCATGTGTGTTTACATGCTTTTGTATGTTGTTTGTGGCACGTTTTTAGGCATTATTTGTGATTTTGGTTTTACTGAGTTGCATTTACATGCATTTGCAGTGTGTTTCTGTGTGTTCTGCTGTTCTCATGCGACAAAAAGCAGCATGCTGTACTTTTTAATGCACACGAAAGCGCGGCAATGATATAAACCAGGCTCATTGAAATACATGCATTTTTACTGCATTTAGAAATGAGTTCCGACTGTATCTGGTTTAAATGAGCCATAAAACTGATGTTTGAAGTGGTTTTTGAAGGATTTTTACCTTAATGCATTCTCTGTATTAAGGTAAAAAAACCTTCTGTGTCCAGAATCCCCCCCAGCCCCTCTTATGATGAGCGAGCAGCGGGCGGGGCTGAGCCGCTCTGTCTGTGTCTATAAATGCAGACAGGGCAGCTTGGGATCGAGCCTGCACAAGTGCCCCCATAGGAAGTAGCATCCTATGGGGGTTACTCACCGAAGATGCAGGAATGCCGGCAAGGAACCCCAGAAGAGTAGGATCGGGGCTGCTCTGTGCAAAACCATTACATGGAGCAGATTGTTATTTTTAAAAAAAAAATGTCCAAAAAGTTTACAATCACTTTAAAGCAGAGTTCCACTGACTTTTAAAAAACAGCCACTTACCTGTCCCCCATTCCCGCGGTGTGTCCCCCGCAGCCCGTTTCACCGGCCGTCCTGTATTCCAGGAGGCCGGCACCTTCAGTGTGGGCACCCCGGCTGTGACATCTTGCGGCTTCATAGCCGGGTACCCACTGTGCATGCGCGAGTAGCGCTGCGCTTCATGAATGATCCTGTAGTCTTCTGGGACCTGTCATGTGTCCCAAAAGACTACAGGTGGGGAGGGAGGACACCTAGCCGATTGGACCGGAAGTAGGAGCGGGTACCTATCAAATTCGGGTACCCGCCCCCCAAAGGTGCCAATCCTTAATGGGGAACGGGGGGAGCAGTCCTTAAAGCGGAACTTCCCCTTTTGGGTGGAGCTCCGCTTTAATTCCTTTCTGCTCCTCCCCCCCTGCCCTTTAAGACAATCAACAAAAATGAAGGTGTTTCCTGGACTTCCAGACCATGTCATCACTGGCTGTCAGTTATGATGTGATCGGGAGCATGTTCTACAAGCTCCTGATCATTGTAAAAGGGGAACTGTACTCACTTCGGGTCCAGCGATGCGGTGTCCCCAAGCTGACATCTTCGGGTGGCCGGCTCCCGATCATTGGCTGCTGTCTTTGACCGGGCAAGGATGACATTACTCCCACACATACTGTACATGGGAGTTCAGTAGAAGGGACTAAGCATGTCTCTTCTGTATTAATATTCCTGCCTGTTCACCCATCTTTGATTCTGGCCTCAAGTTCCACTTTAAGCAGTAGAAGTATGTTAATGTTGGGGCAGGATAGGGAAGCCGATCATAGTAAAGAGCGGGCCACAGTAGTTGATGGTAAATGGGATAGACATTGATTAGAGTAGGGGCAGAGAATATAGGGGGTCCTCATCTTGGGGAAAGGTGTACCTTATGGCACCGCTCTAAGCTATGGATGGAAGGAAAAGGATCACCCCATCAGCAAGTGAGAAGAGAGGAGCACGAGTCCGACCGATTCCAGTGTCAGCCAATACAAGTGAAGGGATGGATGCTGATTAGAGTAGGGGCAGAGAACATAGGGGGTCGTCATCCTGGGGAAAAGTATACCTTATGGCAGGGGTCCTCAAACTTTTTAAACAGGGGGCCAGTTCACTGTCCCTCAGACCATTGGAGGGCCGGACTATAGTTTAAAAAAAAACAAACAACCTATGCACAAATGCGGACACAGTACAGGAGATGACCAGAGACTGCGGACAGTACAGGAGATGACCAGAGACTGCGGACACAGTACAGGAGATGACCAGAGACTGCGGACATAGTATAGGGGATGACCAAAAACTGCGGACACAGTACAGGGGATGACCAGAGACTGCGGACACAGTACAGGAGATGACCAGAGACTGCGGACACAGTACAGGGGATGACCAGAGACTGCGGACACAGTACAGGAGATGACCAGAGACTGCGGACACAGTACAGGGGATGACCAGAGACTGCGGACACAGTACAGGAGATGACCAGAGACTGCGGACATAGTACAGGAGATGACCAGAGACTGCGGACACAGTACAGGAGATGGCCAGAGACTGCGGACACAGTACAGGAGATGACCAGAGACTGCGGACAGTACAGGAGATGACCAGAGACTGCGGACACAGTACAGGAGATGACCAGAGACTGCGGACAGTACAGGAGATGACCAGAGACTGCGGACACAGTACAGGGGATGACCAGAGACTGCGGACACAGTACAGGAGATGACCAGAGACTGCGGACACAGTACAGGGGATGACCAGAGACTGCGGACACAGTACAGGAGATGACCAGAGACTGCGGACATAGTACAGGAGATGACCAGAGACTGCGGACACAGTACAGGAGATGGCCAGAGACTGCGGACAGTACAGGAGATGACCAGAGACTGCGGACACAGTACAGGAGATGACCAGAGACTGCGGACACAGTACAGGAGATGACCAGAGACTGCGGACACGGTACAGGAGATGACCAGAGACTGCGGACATACAACGGCGGCGGCAATACTGGGCCGGCCGCTCCATAAGACACACAGACATTTCCCCCCAAGTGTGTCTTATGGAGAGAAATAGTGCCCCATCATTGGTGTCAGTGGGGGGAGGAATAGTGCCCCATTGTTGGTGTCGGGGGGGGGGGATAGTGCCCCATCGTTGGTGTCAGTGTGGGGGGGGGGGGGGGAATAGTGCCCCATCGTTGGAGTCAGTGAGGGGAGGGGATAGTGTCCCAACATTGGTGTCAGTGGGAGGAATAGTGTCCCATCATTGGTGTCAGTGGGAGGAATAGTGCCCCATCTTTGGTGTCAGTGGGATGAATAGTACGTCATTGGTGTCAGTAGGGGGGAATAGTGCCCCAACATTGGTGTCAGTTGGGGAAGGAATAGTGCCCCATCGTTGGTGTCAGTGGGGGGTGGAATAGTTGGTGTCAGTGGGGGGTGGAATAGTGCCCCATCGTTGGTGTCAGTGGGGGGGAGGAATAGTGCCCCATCGTTGGTGTCGGTAGGGGGGTGGAATACTGCCCCATCGTTGGTGTCAGTGGGGGGGGGGATTAGTGCCCCATTGTTGGTGTCAGTGGGGGGGGAGGAATAGTGCCCCATCGTTGGTGTCAGTGGGGGGGAGGAATAGTGCCCCAAAATTGGTGTCAGTTGGGGAAGGAATAGTGCCCCATCGTTGGTGTCAGTGGGGGGGAGGAATAGTGCCCCATTGTTGGTGTCAGTGGGGGGGAGGAATAGTGCCCCATCGTTGGTGTCAGTGGGGGGAGGATTAGTGCCCCATTGTTGGTGTCAGTGGGGGGGGGGAATAGTGCCCCATCGTTGGTGTCAGTGGGGGGTGGAATAGTGCCCCATCGTTGGTGTCAGTGGTGGGGAGGATTAGTGCCCCATCGGTGTCAGTGGGGGGGAGGAATAGTGCCCCATCGTTGGTGTCAGTGGAGGGTGGAATAGTGCCCCATCGTTGGTGTCAGTGGGGGGAGGAATAGTGCCCCATCGTTGGTGTCAGTGGGAGGGAAGAATAGTGCCCCATCGTTGGTGTCAGTGGGGTGGAGGAATAGTGCCCCATCGTTGGTGTCAGTGGGAGGAATAATGCCCCCATCATTAGTATCAGTGACACCAATGATGGGGCACTATTCCTCCCACTGACACTAATGACACTTAACTTGCTGACCCCTGCTCCAGCATGGTGCTGCTGCAGCCAGCATACCTAGTTGCAGCAGCACCATCAGCACGGCACACTTACTCGATGTTCGCGGGGGGGGGTCCGCTTGGCTCCGCCTCCTCGCAGGTGATTGGCTGCCTCTGTGCCTTTCCTGAGCTACAGTTCTGGCGCCCAATCATCGGTGAGGAGGCGGAGCCGAGCGGCAGGAGTGAGGGACTGGCCGGAGTGAATGAAGGAGCAGCGCTTCCTGGACTGGATCGTTGTGGGACTGGGACCGGAGCCAGGTAAGGTATAGCAGCCCCCTGCCCGCCCCTGTACTTAGTGTCCCTTCCTCGCGGAAAACACGCCCCTGCAGGTGGGCCGGATAAATGGCCTCGGCGGGCCGCATGTGGCTCGTGGGCCATAGTTTGAGGACCCCTGCCTTATGGCAACGTTCTAAGCTATGGATGGAAGGAAAAGGATCACCCCACCGGCAAGTGAGAAGTCCGAGAGATTCCAGTGTCAGCCAATACAAGTGAAGGAATGGAAGCTGCTCAACCGAAGCAAGGAGTCCAATTTTTTGGAATGGCCTCAGCTGCTGTACTGGCCACACCCTCTGATGTGTTTCGCTCTGCCTACCGGGGCTTGGTCACCTCTGTGACCAAGCCCCGTTGGGTGGGGCAAAACACATCAGAGGGCATGGCCAGTGTGGCAGCCGAGGCCATTCCTCAACATTGCACTCGTAGGGTCGGTTAAGCAGCATCCATCCCTCCTCATCTTGGGGAACACAGGAGAGTGGAGAAGGAGCTAAAAGGTTACCCAAAGGCATTGAGAATATTGGGCAGAAGGAGAAGAAGACATGAAAGAGGGTAATATGAAGAATTTTCAGGTGCAGATTGTAGGGAATGGAAACAGAAAGGGAGAGCGTAACAGTAGGATGGGGAGAGAAGTTGTGGGACAGATGGAAGAATGGGAACAAAGCCAAAGAGTGAGTACATTGAGGAGGAAAGAGTTGCATTTTGCGTAGAGAAAGGTGAGTGGGCACAATAATAGAAAAGTGGATAGGTAGGAGAAGAGCATGGGGGGGAAAAAAAGAGGCCCCAGTGGTGAGAAAAGCAAAACTGAGGATGGCAACAGAGAGGAGTAAAGGGGCCACACAGGAGGAGAGAATACACTGGGAAAGAGAACTGAGTAGAACGCAGAAGGAGAGTAGAGCGTCATCCTGGAGGTTTGCACATCCAAACATGTGCAAATGTCCTCCACTAAAGCTGGCCATAGATGACTTGTTTCTTTTCAATCAGCCAACAGGCTGAATGAAAAAAAAAAAGGAACAGTTTTCTCCATCCACAGAAGCAAGGTGGATGGAGGAACCCCTCCTTGCAGGCCATTGTATTCTGACAGCAGGACTCTCGGCTGTCAGAATAAAATGATCTGCGGCTGGGGTCGGTTGGTTGCAGCTGCTGATCAAGAATCCTCCACTAAAGTTGATCGTAGCAAAGTGTTGGGCACAGTAGTTGATGGTAAATGAGATAGACAGTAATGGGGGAAGGGGCAGAGAAAACACTGAGTCCTCATCCTGGCAAATGCAGCAGAGAGAAGGAGCTGAAAGGCATTGAGGATAATGGGGAGATGAGGACACAAAAGAGGGTCACTTGGAGAATCTTCAGGCACAGACAGTAGAGAATGCAAACAGAAAGGGACAGTTTCACAGTAGGATGGGGAGAGAAGTTGTGGGACAAATTGGAGAAAAGGAACAAAGCTGAAGAAGGAGTACATCAAGGAGGAAAGAGTTACACTTTTCACAGAGGAGAAGAGTGGACACAATAGGGTAGGGAGAAGAAGAGAATGGGGGACAAACAGGCCCCAGTTGGTGAGCAGAGAAAAACTGAGGACAGCGAAGGGGAGAAAAGGGTCACACAGGAGAACGTACATTGGGAAAGGAGTAGGAGAGCAGAGAGGAGAGCGGAGTATCATCCTTGGGGTGTGCACAGCCAAACACGTGCAAAAATCCTCTCCCAAAGCTGGCCATAGGTGACTTCTTTATTTTTGCTCAACCAGCAGGCTGAATATAAAAAAAAGGGGAACGGATTCCTCCATCCACACAAGCATGGTAGATGGAGGAATCCCTCCCAGCAGGAAATTGTATTCCGACAGCAGGACTCTCAGCTGTCAGAATACATTGATCAGCGGCTGCAGCCAATTGGTTGCAGCTGCTGTTTGAGAAACATTTTCCAATTTTCCCGTTCAACAGAATTCGATTTAACGATTGACTTCAGTAAAATAGGGATGGTCACACATGGATCGAAATTTGACTGGACCTAGCTGAACCGTCTGATTTTCAATCCAACTACGACCAGCTTAATGCAGGCCATACATGGGTCGAATTCCGAACAAATTTTCTTTAGAAAATCGGAATTTTCGTGCGTTTTGTAATCCGATGGTGTCACCATTGATTTCGAAATTCAACCAACCAAGCCTTCAATTTCTCATGTGTCAACCTCATGTTGCTACAGAAAAGAATTTTCGTGGCCAAGAATTTTCTTCTCTTTCCAGGTCACAGCTCAGGCTTATTTCTTTTTCATTTATATTTCTCGTACAATTCTCCCATCATTGATTCGAAATTCGTTTGTTTTTTTAAAAAAATTTCCAACATGCCCGATCACTCAAATTCGATGGTTACACGAAAATCGCCCATTTCTGTGGCCCACTAACGGTGCGAAATTCGAACGAAAATTCTTAGAAAAGATTTTCGAAAAGAAAATTCTTTCGGCATTCGACCCGTGTATGGCCGGCTTTACACGCACAAGGAGACAGGAAGTAAGGAAGAAAAAATATTAGGATATATTAGCGGACAGATGTCTTGCTGGAACCAATTTACAACCGTAGACCACAGTCTTTGCCTTTTTATTCCAGGGCTGGAAACTACTGGTGCTGGATACCGATTGTGGCCCCTTTCGTGGGTGGTCTGACCGGAGCCTTCCTGTACAAGCTGCTAGTGGGACTTCACCTTCAGACGGACCAGGAAGAGAAAAAGTTACAAGATATGGAAAAGGGAAACACAGAGATGGTGAACTGTGAATACATGTAAACTCGGGGACTATATAGGGAGATCGGACCTACAATCTCCACTCATACAGCACTGGTTCAAATTTTGGACTCTGAAAGAGACAAGCGTTGTATATAAGCAAGATGAATTGTATATATTAACTGATCTGGAGGAGACGTCAGGTTAAAACGAGACCGATATATTATTGCATTACTACGTTTTATTTCATTTAAGCACTGTTGGAGCTTGGTCAGCCATCCTGCGCTCTGGCAATCTAGTTTGCATTTCCAGAACTGAAGACACTTCAGTACCCCTAGTGGTGGAGAGCAAGTACTGCGTCTACTCGGCTTCATGTACTGTAGCAAAGTGGGCATTTCCGTTCCAGTGATTGTGCCATTAATTGCATTCATAAATGGACTTTAAAGGATCACTCCACCCTAAGGCCCCATGTACATGGGACACTTCTGAACAATGGAAACTGACTGCTGCAAAAAAGGTTAAAAAATGTCTGTTTAGCCACGTTTGCATACCGCGTTGATAAGCGTTTGCGTTTAGAAGAGTTTTTTAAAGATAAGCACAGGAGAACCTCCCAAATACCCAGAATGCACTGAAAAGCGGTAAATTATGAACTATTTCAGACTGTTTCAGAGAAATACAGAGAGTAGAAGCAGAGACAGCAGTATGTGTTGAGATTACTTAGGTGTGAGTTGCTCATTAACATTTCTTTTGTTTCCAAGGGTGGGAAAGGTGTCTGGTGGAGGGAGTCATTAAGGCCACCTGGCAGGGGGTCTTCATGAGGAATTTGAGGTGTGAATGGTAATTAACATATCTTTTGTTTCCAAGGGTGGGAGAGGTCTGAGGTGTGAATGGTCATTAACATATCTTTTGTTTCTGAGGGTGGGAGAGGTCTGAGGTGTGAATTGGTCATTAACATGTCTTTTGTTTCCAAGGGTGGGAGAGGTCTGAGGTGTGAATTGGTCATTAACATGTCTTTTGTTTCCAGGGTGGGAGAGGTCTGAGGTGTGAATAGTCATTAACATATCTTTTGTTTCTGAGGGTGGGAGAGGTCTGAGGTGTGAATTGGTCATTAACATGTCTTTTGTTTCCAAGGGTGGGAGAGGTCTGAGGTGTGAATTGGTCATTAACATGTCTTTTGTTTCCGAGGGTGGGAGAGGTCTGCGGTGTGAATAGCCATTAACATGTCTTTTGTTTCCAAGGGTGGGAGAGGTCTGAGGTGTGAATTGGTCATTACAATGTGTGACAAGCTTGGTAGGAACATCCTGTGTTCAGTGTTTTGTCCATCTGAATACCTTGAAAACGCTTTGCATGCATTTTTCATGATGAAAAAAGGCTCTGGACAGCATCGGAAACTGGAAGAGTTAAAAGAACATTTTCAGACGCAAAAACGCTTATAAACGCGATTTGCCACATTTACAAGCGTTTTGTGTTTGAAACGCTGATAAAATCGAATGCTGAACGCAAGTTTTCTGCGTTAAAAAAAAAAAAACTGACTGTAAACTCAAATGACTGTAAACGAAATGCTGTAAACACTGTAAACATCGATGTGTACACAGACACATAGGAAAACATTAGGGTGAGTTCAGGGGCTGCTGAAAAAAAATGCTGAACAGCTCCTAAACGTGAGTCGATCAGCTGCAGTGTACATGGGCCCTAAACAGGCATTCCTTTTAAAGCTGAACTCCAGGTATACAGCTAAATTTAGAGATGAAATGCATATATGAGAGTTGTATTAACTGCAAAGGACTTGCATTATTGTTCATCCAGCTCTGAGATTTACACAGTAGTGCTGCAGAGCACAGTCTTGTCTGGCACAGGAGGGGATACTGACCTTCTCTGCTGCAGTTTAACTTTTCCTTATAGGTCTTCTCCCAGTTCCTACCCTGTGACTTGACAGTGAAAAGAGAAGCAGCACACTGATGAGCTCATCTCTCTGTCATTTTGCTTTCTCCTCATTTCGGCATGTTCCTTGCACTGCAGCATGTCTTACTGGCTTCTTGTTCTGCTTCTCCTTCTCCCGGTCTTGCACTGTTCTGTACAGGGACTGCAAGAGGCTGATAAGTCAAATTCAGGTATTTAAGCTACCTGCGTTAAAAAACATGCATTTAACAATGTAACAATGATTACAGAGCTACATTGATTTGTGTCCTTTATATCTGCAAATTAGTCCATATCTTTGGCTAATATGGATTCATATATATATATATATATACACACACTATATTGCCAAAAGTATTGGGCCGTTGCCCTTTCCACACACATTTTAATGGCATCCCACTTACCATGAACTTCAATATTGAGTGGCCCCCTTTCCAAGTCTTTTAATGTCCGTAGGGTTCAATATTGAGTTGGCCCTGCCTTTGCAGCTATAACAGCTTCAACTCTTCTGGGAAGGCCGTCCACAAGGTTTAGGAGGGTGTCTATGGGAAGGTTGGACCATTCTTCCAGAAGCACATTTGTCAGGTCAGGCACTGATGTCGGGGGAGGAGGCCTGGCTCACAGTCTCCACTCTAATTCATCTCAAAGGTGTTCTATTGGGTTGAGGTCAGGACTCTGTGCAGCCAGTCAAGTTCCTCCACCCCAAACTGGCTCCTCCATGTCTTTATGGACCTTGCTTTGTGCACTGGTGTGCAGTCATGTTGGGACAGGAAGGGGCCATCCCCAAACTCTTCCCACAAAGCTGGGAGCATGAAATTGTCCAAAATGACTTGGTATGCTAATGTCTAAAGAGTTTTCTTCACTGGATCTAGGGGGCCAAGCCCAACCCCTGAAAAACAACCCCACACCATAATCCCCCTCCACCAAACTTTACACTTGGCACAATGCAGTCAGGCAAGTACCGTTCTCCTGGCAACCACCAAACCTAGATACGTAAATCGGATTGCCAGACAGAGAAGTGTGATTGGTCACTAGAAAACATGTCTCCACTGCTCTAGAGTCCAGTGGCAGCGTACTTTACGCCACGGCATCTGACGCTTTGCACTTGGGGATGTAAGGCTTGGATGCAGCTGCTCGGCCATGGAAACCCATTCCATGAAGCTCTCTATGAAACTGTTGTTGTGCTCAACTGAAGGCCACACCAAGTTTGGAGGTCTTTAGCTATTGACTCTGCAGAGTTGGCGACTTCTGCGCACTGTGCGCTGCAGCATGCTCTGACCCCGCTCTGTCATGTGACGTGGCCTACCACTTGGTGGCTGAGTTGCTGTTGTTCCCAGTTGCTTCCACTTTGTTATAATCCCACCAACAGTTGAGCGTGAAATATTTAGTAGCCAGGAAATGTCACGGTGGCCACCTATCACGGGACCACGCTTGGAGTCACTGAGCTCCTGAGAGCGACCCATTCTTTCACCAATGTTTGTAGAAGCCGTCTGCATGCCTAGGGGCTTGATTGTATACACCTGTGTCCATGGAGGGGATTGGAACACCTTAATCACATGATGTGGAGGGCTGGCCCAATACTTTTGGCAATATAGAGTGTGTGTGTATATATATATATATATATATATATATATATTTGTTTTTGTTATAAGCTGTCAAATGCACACAAAAATATAAATTGTTTTATTTATTAAATGATTATTTTATTGATATTGGAATTGTATCTGGTATTTACTGTATTAAACAGATAAACACTGCCACCTTCAGGCTGCAGCGGCCTTGCAGACTGAAGATGTATTTTTTTAACAGTCTCCAGTTCGCATTTTATCACACAGTTGACAAAACGATCAGGGTGGTTCCTCAATGGGGACCGGAGCAGTACTGGCACAAGGTATCTGCTGGTGGCTCTCAGAGGAAGGACATTTAATAAGGTATCTCTAGCACAGGGCATTATGCATGGGAGCAGTAATAAATAGATTGCAGATGAAACAGGGGTAATTGCAGCAGAAACCAGAAAGGTCTCTGCTATGGACCTGCCGGCGGTAGCCTCTAGCGTTCCACAGACCGGAATTCCCCAAGACGAGGAATCTAAGCCCCGACCTGCTTGTTCACCAGGGCCCCTAATGGTGGGGATGGACTTGGAGCAGGCTGAAACCAGGTCGCGGCCCCTGGGTGCACCCAGCTGTGGTAGAAGCACTTACCGGAGGTGTACAGCAGGTGAGAGGCTGATGTGAGGAGGTAGAGAGAGCGGAGTCGGGCAGGCCGGGTCGGTAACGGTGGAGGCAGGACGGTACAAAACAGTAGAGAGAAGGATAATGGTCACAAGCCGGGTTCGGTAACAGGAGATCAAAACGTGCAAGATTAGGCAGGAGAATGGTCAGACAAGCCAGGGATCAGAGCAGGAGACAATCGGCAAATCAAGGTCAGGCAGGGTCGGCAACAAGGCAAACTAATTCAGGAAACACAGGATACAGGTAAAGACCATACGGCAATTAGAGTGTAGATCTGACCTGTTTAAATAGGGCGCCCTCAGTTGGTGCCAGGCGCGCGATTGCGCATGCGCGACCGCCGTGGGTGCCCAGGTCCTAAAGCTCACATGCTAATGCAGCCTGGCACACCGCGCATGCGCAGACCCGCGCGTGATCGCGGAAAGATCTGGGGTCCCTGACAGTCACCTAGCTGCTATTTGACCATGGAACCGTGATATTTTACGTTTTATGGTCATTTAATTAACCCCTTGGCGCCTGCGCCTCCTGGCCCTTTAAAGGTTTCAGAAGCCGGGAGGCGAGGCGGGGCGGGGTTTAGGGTCATGTGACCACTGTGATATGCCGTCACGGCGGACACATGATCGGGAAAGGTCTTGATCGAAAGAGGAGATTGGGACCTTTCCATGAGTACCGGACATGTGTGCTGGGAGCGCGCTGTCGGCACGTTTTTTTTTTTTTTTTTAATAGAACGCAAATGTGCGGCCGCTCGGCGTCTAGGCCCAGACGCCGGGAGGCTGCACGTTTGCTTTCGGCCGGCGCCAACAGGTTAAGGACAGATAGATAATAATATTAGAAAATATAATAAGAATACTTAAAGTGGTTGTAAAGACTGAAGTTTTTTATCTTCCTTCATTCTATGCATGAAGGTAAAAAACCTTC